CAGACGTAGTTCAATTACATCATATAGGAAAACATAGAGATTACACGTAGTAACGCTTGACTGCATCTGAATTGATCGGTTTCGGCCAAACTTCTCCATCCATTTCTGCAAGTATGAGGGCCCCTCCTGTTAGAACCCGGTGAACCATGTACGGACCTTGCCAGATGGGAGAGAATTTCCCCTTGGCTTCATCTTGATGCGGGAAGATTTTCTTTAATACCAGCTATCCCGGTGTGAACTGTCTTGGTTTGACTCTTTTGTTGAAGGCTCTGGACATTCTGTTTTGATAAAGCTGACCATGACATACTGCATTCATTCTTTTCCCATCTATAAGAGCTAGCTGTTCGTAACGACTCTTCACCCTTTTTGCGTCGTCGAGCTCAGCTTCTTGTATGATCCTTAAGGAAGGAATTTCTACTTCGACGGGAATGACTGCTTCTGTACCATAAACCAGCATATAGGGGGTTGCCCCAGTTGATGTGCGGACTGTGGTGCGATACCACAATAAAGCAAATGATAGCTTCTCGTGCCATTGCTTATGCTTCTCTATCATTTTCCTCAGTATCTTCTTGATATTCTTATTGACGGCTTCTACGGCTCCTTTCATCTGAGGCCTGTAGGTTGTAGAATTCTTGTTTTTGATCTTGAAGGTTTCACACATAGCTTTCATTAAGTCACTGTTGAGGTTGGAGCCATTATCAGTAATGATCGACTCTGGAATCCCGAACCGACAGACGATACGGTCGCGGACGAAGTCTGCCACGACTTTCTTAGTCACTGCTTTGTAAGATGCTGCCTCGACCCATTTGGTGAAATAGTCAATGTCTACTAGGATGAACCTGCGCCCGTTGGAAGCGGTCGGCTCGATTGGTCCAATAACATCCATTCCCCAGGCGGCGAATGGCCATGGTGAGCTTGTTGCATTAAGCTCATTTAGTGGCACCTTTATCATGTCTGCATGTATCTGGCAGTGGCGGCATTTCCGAAAATATTGGATGCAGTCCGTTTCCATAGTCATCCAAAAGTAACCAGCCTGGAGTATCTTCTTGGCTAAAACAAAACCGTTCATATGTGGACAACAGGTCCCAACGTGAATCTCCTCTAGTAGTCTGGATGCTTACTTTGCGTCGACACACCTTAATAATCCCAAATCAGGGGTCCTCCTGTACAGGATTCCTCCGCTGTGAAAGAAGTTGTTGGATAACCTCCGAAGTGCACTTTTGAGTAGGATTTGCAAGTTCTGGGTATTCTTCTCTTGTCAAATATTCCCTGATATCATGAAACCAAGGCTTTCCATCTGCTTCTTCTTCAACATGGGCACAATAAGCTGGCTGATCGTGGATCTTTACTAGAATGGGATCAATGAAGTTTTTGTCTGGATGTTGTATCATGGATAACAGGGTAGCCAATGCATCGGCGAACTCATTCTGGATTCCGGGAACATGTCGGAATTCTGTCTTTGTGAACCTCTTTCTCAACTCTTGCATGTGATGCTGATACGGGATATCTTGGAGTTCTTGGTCGCCCATTCTTCTCGGACCTGATGTATGAGCAAGTCTGAATCTCCAATTACTAGCAACTCTTGTACGCTCATGTCAATAACCATCTTGAGCCCTAAGATGCAGGCTTCGTACTCAGCCATATTGTTGGTGCATGGGAACCTGAGTTTGGCAGACACCGGATAATGCTGACCGATTTCCGATACTAGGACTGCTCCTATGCCAACTCCTTTGAAATTTGCTGCTCCGTCAAAAAACATTCTCCACCCATCATAGGATTCTACAACATCTTCTCCTATGAATGATACCTCTTCATCAGGAAAATACGTCTTTAAGGGTTCGTATTCTCCATCCACAGGGTTTTCGGCAAGATGATCTGCTAGTGCCTATCCCTTGATTGCCTTCTGAGTTACATAGACAGTGTCGAATTCACTCAACAGGATTTGCCACTTGGCCAGCTTGCTAGTGGGCATGGGCTTCTGAAAGATGTACTTCAAAGGGTCCATCCTTGATATAAGATATGTAGTGTAGGCACAGAAGTAATGTCTCAGCTTCTGGGCTACCCAAGTCAAAACACAACATATGCGCTCCAACAGAGAATACCGGGCCTCGTACGGAGTGAACTTTTTGCTGAGGTAGTAAATGGCATGTTCCTTTCTCCCTGTTTGGTCATGCTGCCCCAAGACGCAACCGAAGGCACCATCCAATACTGCGAGGTAGAGTAGTAAGGGTCTACCTAGCTCAGGCGGGACCAAGACTGGTGGTGTTGATAGGTATCCCTTGATTTTGTCAAAAGCTCTCTGGCAGTCATCAGTCCATTTGGTGGCGGCGTCCTTCTTTAACATCTTAAAGATTGGCTCACAGATAACTGTAGATTGTGCTATGAACCGGCTGATGTAGCTAAGTCTTCCCAAGAAACTCATCACATCCTTCTTGTTCTTTGGCGGTGGAAGTTCTTGAATGGCCTTGACCTTTGATGGGTCCAATTCTATTCCTCAGCGGCTCATAATAAACCCAAGTAATTTTCCGGCAGGAACCCCAAATGCACACTTCGCGGGATTCGGTTTCAGGTTGTACCTTCGCAATCTATTGAAAAACTTTCTTAAGTCTTCCATGTGATTAGTGGCCTTCTTAGACTTGATGATAACGTCATCCACATACACCTCAATCTCCTTGTGTATCATATATTGAAAAATGGTAGTCATGGCCCTCATGTAGGTGGCCCCTGCATTCTTAAGGCCAAACGGCATCATCTTGTAGCAGTACATTCCCCGCGGCGTAATGAAAGCTATTTTCTTAGCATCTTCTTCATCCATCCAGATCTGATGATAACCAGCGAAACAATCCACAAACGATTGCAACTCATGCTTGGCGCAATTGTCGATCAGGATGTGTATGTTTGGTAAAGGAAAATCGTCTTTCGAACTGGCCCGGTCGAGATCCCGGTAGTCGACACAGACTCTGACCTTCCCGTCCGTCTTTGGTACTGGCACAATGTTGGCTAACCATGTCGCGTATTCTACTACCCTGAGAACCTTGGCTTTGACCTGCTTAGTGACTTCTTCCTTGATTTTCAAACTCATATCAGGTTTGAACTTTCTGAGCTTTTGCTTTACCGGCGGACATGTTGGATCAGTTGGCAGTTTGTGAGCCACAATAGATGTGCTCAGGCCCGTCATGTCGTCATACGACCAGGCGAATATGTCCTAATATTCCTTTAGAAATACTGTGTATTCCTTCTTTTCTGATGGCAATACACTACAAAAAAATTGGCTTTTAGCAAAGGGAAATCCAGTCGTTAAAAGTTCAAATCCAGTCGTTATAAGTCAATAACGACCAAATAAAAACCGGTCGTCGCCGGTTGCTAAAGTCTCTGTCGTTAAAAGTTAATGACCGGATTAGAATGCGGTCGTTAAATTCCTTTAACGACCAGAAAACTTCCCGTCGTTGTTCCTATTTAGCGACCGATGTTCCCTTCACAAATTGCCAAATTTCCCTTCGCTAATGCCCATGTAACCATTTGATAATCCTGTTGTTAAAGAGTTTTAAAGACCACATTTCCCTTCGTTGATGTGAAATTTTAATAAATATAATTACACCAATTTATATATTTTTTCTGTAGTTATCCAATAATAATCATTACCATATGCTTTCTCACACACATATATACAACAACTAAAAATATACCGAATAATCAAAATTCATACTCAAAAAAATTTTATTGTTCATTACAAAGAACCGAAGGATCACAATGTCTATAAATATACCCATCCAAATTGCATGACATTATTTTTATCTACTCCTAAAAACAGACACTAGAACTGTAGCACGATGTACAAATGACAAAATCTTTAAACCACTACAAACAGAACAAAAAATCTATTGTGCTTCAACTTGCTCCGGACATTCTTCAAGCATAGGTTCTTCGGACTTCAAGTTCCTGATATGTTAAAAGAAGAAGTGATGTCACTTTAGTGAAAAAACTCCTACTAGCTACTTTATTTAGAAAACAAATAAATAATTTAATCACCAAATCAACTAAACTATTGGTGTAAATTTTGTTTGATAAAACGGATGCAGCCAATGAATAGTTTTAAGAAGTTTATCTTTTATGTTCAAGCATGATGAAATTTAGACTTCAAGCCAGAAAAGTTCTAAAAACAAGGATAAATTTCTCAAAGAGGAAAAGCGACTACAATGAGAATACACAATCAGCAGTCGTTTCAATTTAATTACCAAATTAATAAAGTGTTAAACTAACCTAAAATATAATTAACAAGAAATCACAAGTGTTAGAAAGAATGAAGAATCCAAACCTGTCAACATGTCGATGCTAAAAGTTCAAATTAAGTCTTTCGTCAATGGCAT